CTGTTGTCCATATTTATTTAATAAATACTTGAATCACAGGTATTATTATTATTATTATTATTATTATTATTATTAATAATAATTATTATTATTAATAATAATAATAATAATAATAATAATAATAATAATAATAATAATAATAATAATAATAATAATAATAATAATAATAATTATTTACTTATTTATTTATTCATCTCACTGTCCAGAATGTTTCTGAACGGCTTACAAGTAATAAAAATAGCAATATAGAAACCAATTATAAATATGAGAACAATTAAAATTATAAAAGAATTAAAAATAGGTTAAAAACCACACATTCAAGTGGGAAGGGGGTGCTGCACCAACACTAACCACCTTCAGTCTAAAACAGGGGTGTCAAACTGCCGGCCCATGGGCCGGATGCATCATGGCAAAACCACGCCCATCCCATTGCCGGGAATGGGAAAAAAGTCACGATACGTTGCGACATGTCACGTGACGTTGCGAGTTTGACACCCTTGATCTAAAAACGTCTACATTGGGGCCCAGGTCTTAAGGCTGTTAGGCTACGTCTTTCTTTCAGTTGATCATATGAATTATTACAAGAGGTTCCAGATGGACACAAAAAGATTCCTTTTTTTAAAAAGTTATTGAGACCTCATTTCATATTAAACAAGTCTTCACAAAATCCTTAGGTTCCAACCTGTGAATACTTATTTGTGATTATGCACTATTTTAGTTATGTATAGAATATGTATGTGTGTGTGTGTATATATATATATATATATATATATATATGGTTCTATTTCATTTTTGCTTTTGTTTTGCTTTGCTTTGCATGCTTCATTAGGCACAGAGGTTTATGAAAATAATAAAATGTTTTTTTCTTGGTAAGTAGCATATTTGGTTTCCACAAACATGTGATGAAGGAGAATTACATATTAGATGCACAGATATCTGCAACTAAATTCCACTTGTTTATTGTGCTTTTAACTATAGAAAAGGCAGACTGAAGCCTGGATTAAGCACTAAAATTAAAAGGCTCCTCTGGATGTCTACTTTTCATAATATAGGCCACAACTGAATGCATAAAAGCCATCTCTATTTGGCACCATGAGGTAGCATAATTATACTGGCACAGGAGTGTTTAGCAGTGGTTATGATATTGGCAAATCTCCTAAACCTCTGAAACACATTAGCATCTGTAAACTTTTGGTAAACTTGCTGGTTAACTAGATTTCACAAATTTCCACATGCAAGTTTTAATTAATTTTTCCTTCCCCCTTATATTTTTTGGAATCATGGATTTTGTGTCACGCTTGGTCTTTGAGTTTGTGACTGAATATTCAGAGAGAACATGTATTACATATTTTATCTCCAGAATATTTTTCTTCTTCTAGAGAGGATTAATAAAGCTCAGATTCATATTTAAGAAGGAAAACAGTCCAAAGACACTGTTGAACTCTGAGGAGCATCACAGGATTGCTTACTTCTGGAGATTACTTTTTCTCTCCTCATGCTATGTTTTTTGAGGACAGAAATCTAGGCAAAACAATGACTGATTTCTGCTTCTGAAATCAGAATCAGGTTACACATAAAGAAATCTCTAGTAGCAAAAAATACTGTTTTACACTCTTTATTTCATAAAGGAAAAGCAAGACTAAACAGAAATTTAAATTACCACAGAATTATACATTTTAAGATGACAAAACAAGAAAATTATTAAATTAGCTTTAATAATTGTTGTTATGTGATATTGAAATCTTTAATTTTTAGGGATTTTCTGGAGGTCACACTCCAAGGTTTGGGTTACATGTTACAAAACTTTACATTGAGAGGAAAAAATATTCCTGGATGAAGCCTCTCATCCTTTAGATATCAGATTGATAGGCAATAAGCAATAAATAAATGTATCTATGGCTTAGTTGGCAATAAAGAAATATATGCAAAAGATCCAGTTTCTGAGGGAAACCAAGAAGCTCTTTGAGGTGCTAGTTTGGTGGCATATTCTTTCTTCTCTGTGATTTGTGGATTCAAAGTGTCTTCATGGTATAATAATAATAATAATAATAATAATAATAATAATAATAATAATAATAATAATAATAGTAAAGATGGAAGGGACCTTGAAGGTCATCTAGTCCAACCCCCTGCTCAGGCAGGAAACCCTATACCATTTCGGACAAATGGCTGTCCAGTCTCTTCTTAAACATTTCCAGTGTTGGAGCATTCACCGCTTCTGGAGGCAGATTGTTCCACTGGTTAATTGTTCTCACTGTCAGGAAGTTTCTCCTTAGTTCTAGATTGCTTCTCTCCTTGATTAGTTTCCACCCGTTGCTTCTTGTCCTGCCTCCAGGCGCTTTGGAAAATAGCTTGACTCCCTCTTCTTTATGGCAGCCCCTGAGATATTGGNAAAGTCTCAACATCTTTTTTACATCGCGGTGACCAAAACTGGATGCAGTATTCCAAGTGTGGCCTTACCAAGGCATTGTAAAGTGGTATTAACACTTCACGTGATCTTGATTCTATCCCTGTTAATGCAGCCTAGCACTGTGTTGGCCTTTTTGGCAGCTGCAGCACACTGCTGGCTCATATTTAGGTGATTGTCCACTAGGACTCCGAGGTCCCTCTCACAGTTACTACTATTGAGCAAGGTGCCACCTATGCTGTACTTGCGTATTTGGTTTTTCTTGCCTAAATGTAGAACCTTGCTTTTTTCACCATTGAATTTCATTTTGTTAAGATAGTGCCCAGTGTTCAAGTCTGTCCAGATCCTTCTGTATCTTAAGCCTGTCTTCTGGAGTGTTGGCTATTCCTGCCAGCTTGGTGTCGTCTGCAAATTTGATGAGTTCCCCATCTATCCCCTCGTCCAAATCGTTGATGACAAGGTTTTCTGACTTCATGTCTCTAGTAGTAGTATGTCTAATTTTGAACTAGTTTCTGCAACAGATGAAAATATTCACAAGTAAACATATATACATGGGACAAATGTATCTGCCATAAATCAGAAGGATGCTGATTATGCATTTTAATAACCTGTGTAAGTCAGAAAAGGTGATACCAAGTTTTTGGTTTTTTTCCACCATAGGCTGACATGGCTCTCCTGTTATGATCTGTTAACAGATTACTGGCAATATAATCCTGAGATGGCAGAAATTTAAAAATTTGCTGCATTTTAACCACCTGAATTGGTTAAAAGTAATCCTGGGTTGTATAAACAGAGGCATAGAATCAAGATCATGCGAAGTATTAGTACCACTTTATAAAACCCTTGTGAGACCACACCTGGAGTACTGCATACTACAAAAAAGAAGTTGAGACCTTGGAAAAAGTTCAGAGAAGAGCAACTAAGATGATCCAAGGCCTGGAGACTAAAACATATGAAGAACGGTGACATAACAGTATTCCAGTGTTTGAGAGGCTGCCACAAAGAAGAGGGGGGTCAAATTATTCTCCAAAGCACCAGAGGGCAGGAAAAGAAACAATGATTAGAAACTGATCAAAGAAGAGAAGCAACCTGGAATTAAGGAGAAACTTCCTAACAGTGAGGACAATTGACCAGTGGATGCTCCATCACTGGAGGTTTTTAAGAAGAGACTGGACAGTCATTTGTCTGAGATGGTATAGGTTCTCCTGATTGAGGGGGGGAGGGGGGGCAGACTAGAAGACCTCCAAGGTCCTTTCCAGCTCTATTCTATTCTATTCTATTCTATTCTATTCTGTCTACATGCATGACGCAATTCCGTGACGGGTGTGCAGCCTGCGTATCAAGGACTGCTTGCAAAGTAACCTTGAATAATGCAGCTTCGCAGGTAATGACACAGGAAGAGCAAAGGTTGACACATTTCTCAATTCATAGAAAACGTGACCGAAAAGACGACTCTAGACTAGAGGTTGTGGTACCGGCGGCTAACGAAGTGTATGTGAGTGTTGGCACGCACCACTCCTCCTTTTTGGAGGAGTAGTTTCCAGAGAAGGCAAGGCAGAGTAATCACACACAGTCCCGGAGATCAAGGTGTGATGGTGGGCACGTCTTCTCTCCGTTAAGGTTCCAGCGGGGCTAAAGAGGGAAAAAAAAAAAAAGGTGGGCTCGGTTCCTCCTTCGGTAACGCTATAACGCTAACCCGTCGGCCGGGCCCCCCTTCCCTTGCTTGGCACGCGTGAGCGTCAGAGAGGGCACTACTAGCCACGGCGCGAGCCAGGTGACACGCTTTACGGGTTAAATCCGGGCTACCCGACGCAGGCGTTGACAGGCGGGCGACAGTTCGAGGCACCTTCGCGCGAGAGGGCGAGGAACTTCAGAGACGCGGCGGGCTCCTCCGCGTCCACTTCCGACCGACTCCCCGCACTTTTCCCCTCTTTTTGAGGCGCAGACACACCAACGCGCCCGGCGCAGGGGAAGGCGAAGCGCACGCCTTCTCTCCCCTCCCCGCTCCTACCACCCCCCGCCCCCCCCCGCCCCACTTTCGCCGAGGGACGGCTCCGACCCGCACCGGCCACCTCTCGGCTCCCAGCGGCAGGCGGCTGAACCGAGGCGGGGTCACATGCTGGCCTTGTGGGTGGCCAGGCGCCGCCCAAACGACGACGACGACGACGACACGCTCCTCTCGGTTCTCGCACGAAATCGGGGCGACCTGCGTTCCTCGCCGAGGGAACCGTTCGCCGCCGCCGCCGCGGCTGACGGTCTTGAGGGGGGGGGGGAGCGCGCGTGTGTGTGTTTGGGGGGGGAGGGTCAACGTTCCCCTTCGCTCGCGCCAGCGGAGCCCAAGGCCGAGCTGCCCGGATTGGCCGGGGAAGGGCCGCGAGCTCCGCCCGCTGTAGCCGTGCTTGCCTGGCTTGGAGGGAGGGGAGAAGAGCGGGGCTGCGCTCCCTGCGCTGCCTAGTCTGGAGCGGGAGCCTGGCAGTGGCAGGAGCGGCGGCGGCGGCGGCTGCTCAGGAGCCGCCGGAGCCTGCTGGTCTGAGGAATCAGCCCCGTTGCCTTCCGCTCCGGGTGCGCGAGGCGAGGAGGGGGCCCGTCTCCACCGATCCATGACCATGGGCGACAAGAAGAGCCCGACCAGGTGAGAGAAGGGAAAGAAGTCGGGGCGCTTGGCGGAGCGGGCGAAAAAAAAAAAAAAAGAGAGGGCTTCTCCTAAGATGGAGGGAATGTGGAAAGGGAATGGAAAAGGAGTATGCGCGGGTGCCACCAGCTAGAGCACCCACCTCCGCCTTATGCTCTGGGGAGGCGCTGTGTGTGGGGACTAGGCCACAGAGTGGTAGTAGTGGTGGTGGTGGTAATAGTAGTGGCAGAGGAGGGGGGCTTTTAAGATGGAGGAAGTGGGTAAGGAAAGAGAGCTTATTTGTTTGCCTGCCTGCCTGCCTTCCAGCCAGGTACAGAAAAAAACTCCTTTTTCAATGGTGTTGGGTGGAGAGGAGGAAAAGCTGGAGCTCCTTGTGTGGGAAGACGTGGGGAGGGGGAGGCTGCATTCTGTGCCCAGGGTGGCTCTTAAGATGGAGGGAGTGTGTAAAAAAGCAAAGCGGAGAGCAAATGTTTGTGTTCCTCTCGGTGTATGTATGTGTGTCGGTGCCAGGGCTAATCTGGTGTTAAGAGCAGCTATGGCGGCTCCTCACTCTCTCTCTCACACATACATCTCCCTCATACTGACTTCTTCCAGACAAAGGGAGATTTAACAAGGTAAAAGAGACAGACAGACAGACAGAGGGGGCGCATGGAGGGACACGCCTACAATCCTTTAAAGTACAATTAAGCTCCCCCTCCCCACAAAAGAGAGGGAGGGTTTCAAGCCCTCTCGGATGCCTTTCACCATCCTTCCTTTTTTCCCTTCCCTTCTAGATTCACTGGCACTCCGTGTTGAGTGAAAATCGATTGTCTTGGAATTGAAGATTGAGAGGAAATGTTATCCTTTCCTCTCTCTCACTCAGGGATATAGTAATGGGGGAAGGCAGAATATGTATCTGGGGAGAGTGAAGCACAGTGTGGTTCAGGTTTATAAATGTTTTGCACCTCTTCCTGCTTCCCCTCCCTTTTTACCTCTTTCCAAAAATGTGATTACTTTTTTAGCCAGAGGAAAAGAAAAGCAGGCAAGCAGAATGTAACATGAAATAGCCTTGTTTTATTATCTTGTTTCTAACACGTTTTCTTTCTTCTCTCCTTCTTTATCCTTCGTGTATGCACTTCTCAAGACCCAAAAGGCAAGCTAAACCTATAGCTGATGAAGGTTTTTGGGATTGTAGTGTTTGCACCTTTAGAAACAGCGCTGAAGCCTTCAAATGCAGCATATGTGATGTCAGGAAAGGCACCTCTACAAGGTACATTGTCATATTGAAATATGAATATCTTCGTTCTTAATTGTAATAAAGTTGACTTGTTGATTTACCATAGTGGTAGCAGCGTGAAATAACTGGAAGGGACAGGAGTTTAAACTTGGTATTTTGTGTTGTGACCTTTCAGCAAAATTGAATATTTGTAAAAGATATGTTTGATTGTTAATATGGCCCATTTATAAATAAAAAGTTACTGAGTATTTCTTGGATCATTTATATATAATTGGAAGCTTGGGTTTTTCTGTGCCATTTTGGTTTCAGGGATGCTGCCGAATAAAATAAGAGGTGGTAAGAGAAAGGAGCATTAACATCTTCAATTTATCAATATATTTGGATGTGGAATTATATAGTACAGTAAGAAGAGTATAAACATTCAGATTTGCATATGTGTTTTAAGTATACGGGATACTCAGAAAGTCTGTATCTTCCAGAATAGTATAAAGTATAAATATTAGATATAAAATATGATATTTACAACAGTGCTGTAGAAATAACAATAGATTTATGAGAACTTGGGTGTCTTTTCTTTTACTCTGATTGTTATCCAGATTGTTGGAAATTCTTTCAAAAGACTAAAGCTGTTATTGGTATTTCTTTCAGGTAGTTAAGTTTAGAAGTTACCTATTCTGTATCCTCACAGAGTTTTTTTTATGATGAAAGTATTGTCATATGTTGTTGCAGACTTTTATGTTAATTATTTTCTATAGAAATAGTTATGTGAAATTTTAATTTGTAGGCAGTAGGTTATTTGGGGAGTTAAGTGACTTGGAACAGTTCAGAATGTGTTCATAGTATTTGGATATTTACTTTAATCAAAGAAAATCCTACATAAGTGAAAACTTTCTGTGACATGAGGCCTTTTTTGGTGTCTTCTGAATACATTCCTGTAGACAATGTATTTATCTTTGCAAGTTTTATACTTTTCTAAACAGTACTGATTTAACCTTGTGAAAATAAGTATTGTAAAGAGACTTTAGTACTGTCACTGAATCCACCTGTAGCTCTTGTTTTCAAACCTGTTGATACTCATTTGTTCTTTTATTAGAATATTTTTAAGATTAGCATTTTAGACTGCATTTTTAAGGATAGACAACCAGCAGCTTTTGGATGGATATAGTCTGTGTTTATGTTTACGTTTACACTGTGCATGATTGAGACACCTCTTCACAATCAAGTAAATCAACTTTGTATGCTGGTACCACATGTCACAAGTTGTCTGGATCTCTTTCTTTTAGCTTTAGCTGCTATGAAGGAGGCTGGAAGGCTATTACTTCCAAATACAGTTATTTTCTTATTCTCTACTCCCACCCTGCTTTGGACGATTGTTTCAGTTATGATATGGTATTATCTGGTTCTTCATGGTAGATTCTTACCCACCCTCACCTCTTTCTGTCTCTTTCATACATTCTTTGCAGGGCTGTGTAAGAGCCCACTGAAGAGATGGACAGGAGTTTTGCTAAGTTCTGTCTGGTTGGCCTTTGTCTAAGGCAGTGTTTCTCAACCTTGACAATTTTAAGGCATGTGGACTTCAACTCCAAGAATTCCACAGCCAGCATTGCTGGCTGTGGAATTCTGGGAGTTGAAGTCCACATGCCTTAAAATTGTCAAGATTGAGAAACACTGGTCTAAGGAATAAAAAAGTTCAACTAATTCCACAGTAATTAGAGTTTTTTTGATCAGCAGAACAGTTGACTGGGGAATAAATATGTACTTTTTTACAAATTTATATAGCTGCCCATCTCACACAGAGGATTCTGGATGACATACAACAATAAAATAAAATTAAAAACATATATAAAAACAATCAATTAAAATATGATTCTTAAGAAATCATTTTTAAAAATGCAAACCATCAGATATAGGAAAGATAATAAATGAATAAAAGAGCTATCTAAAAATATCCCTGCTCCCCTGGGACCTCCAGCCTCATGACAAAGGCAGGTCTTGAGGGACTTGTGGAACATTAGCAGGATGAAGCTAACCTCACTTTGGGAGGGGGGTGGCGAGAGAAGATTTCAAAGGCAGACCCTACAACAGAGAAGGCTTGCCTCCTGGGGCCACCAATGTAAATTCCTAGCAGATGGGACACAAAACATGCCCTCTCTGCCAAGTCTAGTGGGACAGGCAGAGGTAATTGGGGAGAGTCAGTTTCTCAAGTAACCTAGATAAATATAACTCAAATAAATATAGTCCATAATAAGATTGTATCTGCTAGGGGCAATATCTAACATCCTTTGGGTTAGTTAAATGAGTCATTTGTGCAGGGTAGAGAATTCATGTGAAATACATACCCCTTCATTCCATGATCTATTTCAGTGTGCTTCGGATATAAGACTACTGTGCTAACTTTCTCCATAGTTTTTTTAGGAACATTATAAGTACTGTCTTAATTTATTTTAATGTTGGTAATCAGTTGTGATTTGTCTGTATATTAGATACACAATATTTGAGATTAATAATTGTAAGCCCTTTCTATAGGGCTGGGCAGACTTTATTATGGAGATTTCATTCCCATGAGCAATTGCATTTATAAAGTAAAACAAACTTCAAGCCTTCCCATATTATAGCTGACTGAAATGTTTCCGTGAGATGCAGAAGCTGATCACCTCATCTGTATAACTAAATTCAAGACCTCTATGTGTCCTTATTAGTATAATGCATTTAGTATGTTTTTTAAAATAAAACAAATTTAAGGTAACATTATTTACAATGATACTCATGTTTTATATAATTCTAATTATCATAGAGTGAAACTGAATATGGCAAACAGTTTAAATAACAGCATGTATCTGAGCTTAAGATATGAGTTTTTAGTTGTGGCTTGGAATTATGAGTTACTGTATATGACGTATGTTTTCTAGGGGAAATTTTAAATTTTTTTAATAGATACTTGAAGTACAAAATGCCACACTGGTTGGCTATTACTCAGAATATTTACATCTAATGCAACAGTTGGTTTGCATGTTTTCATACAGAAAACTTTCCTGATATAAGATAATTTAAATCTAATTCAGCCTCTTTGTATTAATAGCAGTCTTTAACAAATTGAGTGATATTATTGATTGAGAGATAGGAAATTTAGAATTGTGAAATTGGATTGATGCAAACAGACTTTTCTATCCCTTTCCTCCAAAATTATTTAGAGAAGTTAATGTGACTTAATGTATTTGATTAGGGATCTGCCTTTCTTACAGGAGCCTCAAATAGTATTCATAGAATTCCCTTCTTGCACCTGTGCCTCCCCCCACTTGTTGATTATGCTGGAATTTTAAAAATCCCTGAAGATGGGGTAGTGATATTATCCATTAATTGAGCTATTTAGAGGAGATGCCTTGTATAGCATTGTGTAATCCATGTGTAGCATTTAGAGGAAGAGGGATATGTTGTGAATAAGGGGTGGACAAATGGCTTGTACCTTAATCTGAATTGAATTTAGAGTTACTATTTGTATCGGGTAGTAGCAGCAGCAGGAGGATATATGAATTAGAGCAGTCAGCTGTTCTAAAGAGTACATTAAACTACTACTTATCCCATGTAATAATTAGTTGTCTTTTTCACACTCCTTTAACAATAAGGAGGAATTAATGCAGACCATGTATTGTAGACCAGGTCAGATCAGTGTTGGTTTGCTATAGTTTTATATAATTTTTTATGTTTGCTAATAGATTTTGAACTGAGTTATGGGAGTTGTTGTGAGCTTTTTCTATTACATTTTTGATATGTTGATAAGTTAGTATTTATGACTAAATGTGAAAGCATTGCTTGTTTGTTTTTTTTTACTTAGGAAATTCTGCAGTGTTCTAATAAGTATAAGATAAAATAATGGTTTAAAATAAAGATTTGTTGTATTGATATAGGAAGGGAATATAATCATATCTTACAACTTTACAAGTTGCTGATCATCTTAGGTACTTTACATATCAGAAACATATTTAAATACTTCCATTCAAATATGTAAACATGTTATTAAGCTGAAATCAAAGATGAATTTTACATTTTCATTGTATTTTTAAAATACACAGTACAACAGCAGTGATATAGTAAAATGATAGCGATTGTCCTTATGAGAATAATTGTGAATGGAATTTCTTTCACTAAGTGATGCAATCATAATGCACAATGTCACATGACTACATTGCTTAGTGACGGCAATCCCAAACTCACTGTTGTTGTTATTAAGCAAATTCTGTCAGTTGTTAGCTAAGGACCAACCCCAATATAAACCATTTTGAGCTTCGTTTTCTACCCCCCTCCGCCCCAAGCCTTGATAAGTAAAGGGCTGCTTCCTCTTTCAACTCCCCCTACCCACCTATCCACTCCCCACCTCTGTCTGTTTGGCCATCCTGCATTCTGCCTTATGCCACATCAAAGCCACACGCACCCCTGGAAGCCTCAACTACCCTAGCCTGCCCCAGCCACATCACACAAAGTCCTAGTGGTGAGGCAGTGGTTAGAATAAAGTACTGCAAGCTACTTCTGCTGATTGCAGTTTGGCAGTTCAAATCTCACTGGCTCAAGGTTGACTCAGTCTTCCATTTTTCTGAGATGAATAAGATGAGGACCCAGATTGTTGGGGGCAATATGCTGACTCTGTAAACCGCTTAGAGAAGGCGATAAAGCACTGTGAAGCGGTATATAAGTCTAAGTGCTTTTGCTATAGTAGGAAGCTCTAGTAGTGCAGTGCAAAGCTGCTGCACTCTAAAAAGCCTCCACAGCATGGTGCAAACCTGCAACAACCTGGGAACCCCCCAATAGCACAGCACAAAGATGTAATGCCCTGGGAAGCCCTAGTCCAGTACTAGCTGCAGTCGCCCTTGCCATCCTGAACACCAAGGTCTCTGCCACCCTGGGCTTCACTGCTTCAACTGACCTTTGATATCTTCTTACTCCTGCAACTTGATCAGGCATGCCTTCCTTGGCCCAGGTCTTTCAGAGAAACCACCAGACTCAACCTTCAGAAAGCCTCATATGTAGAGAGCCTTCTT